ACACCTTTTCTCCAAACCATCGCAATAAATAACCAAACTCCTTTACGTCATACACCAAAAACAACACGTCATCAGTACGTTAGCTCTTCAACCAGGCAGCCTTCACTCCATTTCCTCTTCTCGTGAACACAAGCACAACCATTGACACACCAAACACCACTCTTGCACTTCCTCTTGGACACACTGCACTTCACACATTTGCACCACTGACCCCGCACTTCGAAAAACCGACATTCTCCTACCGTCCACCTACACCTTAACCTCCTGGCTTCACATGTCGCCCACCAAGGTAACCCTCAACCTCGTCTGCAAAACTTCAACACCCATCTCAACACCCCACCAAATCATCCACTCACTAACCTCCTTCTCCTACGCCACCGCCTTCCTCTTCAACGCCAATACCTTCTCCTGTCTCGCTCTTGTCGCCTTCAGACACGCGGCACGGCTTCTTCGTCGGTGCCTCTGCATCTACTAAAATTACACCAACATGCACGCTTATCTTCCAGCCACAACACCACACCATCCAACGCATCGGCTAACTCGACTTACCTGGTGTGCAACTCTTCTGTTGTGCCACACCGCCAAAGTCTACGCGCATCACAGATTCTACAAGGCTGTTACAACCACACCATTTCAATCCTACCATTACCACCGCCACTGCTTCTTGTGCCTCGACGTCCACGATATGTCATCTTGCGTTTCGGCACCTACAACACACACACACAAAACAATGTTCCCCCGTTCAATACACTAAACACACACACACACACACACACCCACAATGACACCGCACTCCCACACACTACACACACCATTCCTCACCTGTGCAATCGACCTCTCCTCACCCGACACCACTGAGTCGAGCATCACGGACTCTACAATTCAGAAAAACCACTTCACTCAAATTTCCACATCGTCGGGTAGTTCCCTCATTTTCGTCAGCATTTTCGTCACAACGCTAAGGTGCACCATTCACGCATGCACATACACACACACACTAACTGCGCTTTCTACACCACCACACCAGCTCCGCACATATAAACCTCCATCCCCGCCAATCCCAGCATTCACATGCCCAATTAAACTCACGTTTGGCCAAAGGATCTCCATCCAGTGCCACTGTCAATTCCATATCTAAGCGGAAGAACATTCACGTAGACACAACACCACAAATAACCACTTGCCCCCTACTTCCAACACCACGCTCCACACGCATCCTCC